CTGATAAGGCAACACCGCCTACCCATCTAAGATTGATGATCGACCGCACGATAATCGGGGAGGGGGGTGGAGAGGGGGTGGGGGTGAGGTAGAGGAAGAGGGGGGGGGTGGGGTGAAGGGGGGGAGAGGAACGGTTGGGGGGGGGAAGGTTGGGAGAGGAGGAGAGGGGGAATTTTCGTTGTGTCTTAATAGCGTTCTTTTGGTAGATTGCAGTTGCTCTGCTAATTTTTTTTATTTTTTTTTTGAGGGGGGGGGGGGGGGGGGAACAATCACTTAATTATCAAAAAGGAGCTGTATTTGGGGGAGGATTGCACTTAGTCTATCCCCCTCAGGTCCGTAAAGCCGTATTTCGGGCAACTTTCAGTCCACATACAGCCGGGAAGGAGGTTAGATATGTATGTGATATGTTAATCTCCACGTTCTAGCACACAATACTGAAAGTTGGGATCCAGATCACATCACCCACCTGAACTCGTAGGGATCCATGCAAACCAATCAAACAAGTGAAATGGGTGAAGGGCGACAAAATCTCGTCGGGATCCAGATCACATCACATCACACACAGTCCAATCAGCGCCCTGCACTCCATCGGGCAGGACGCAGATGGTCATCATCATTATCATCCTCAGCGTCAATCGTCCTCATGAACGTCAATCGTCCTCATCAACGTCCGTCGTCCTCATCAATGGCATCATCATCATCATCATCATCATCATCATCATCAACATCCTAATCATCATACAACGCCATCACAACTGTCCTCATCACCAACGTCATCCAAGCTCAGTCGAGATCCCGACCTCCAGCAGCAGCATACGTCAACGAATCTCCCATCATCATCATCATCATCATCATCATCATCATCAACGTCCTCCTCATCATCAACGTCATCTTAACTGTCCTCATCAGCAACGTCATCCACATCATCAAAGCTCAGTCGAGATCCCGACCTCCATCAAATCTCTCCTCGCCCCCTTACTACTACCACCACCACCACCACCACCACCACCACCACCATCATCATCATCATCATCATCATCATGTCCCACCTTCATCACCATCTTCGACCCCGTGATCATCATCATCATAATCAACCCCATCATCATCATCATCATAATCAACCCCATCATCATCATCATCGTCATGGTAATGATACTCATTACCAATTACATTCCTACTCCATTCTGTTACACCCGATGGCGACGGCCACGTGTCCATCACCTAGAAAATGAAGAGGACACACTGTGATGACCCCTGGATGACCGATTTAAAAGATGAAATGGGAAGGAATTGGAATGATGTCGAATCTGGAGATCTCAGCAGTAATATAAGAGATGGATCTGTGATGAAGGGTATTGTGCATATACTCACTCTTGGGCTTTCGTGGATGTATCTGGCGGTAATTGCTGCGGATGTTC